TTTTTCATAGAATTCAAAATATCTGCATTAAATATCACAAGATTTTCAACTCAAGGTATTTATTCAGATAGACACAAATATGACAGTATTCAATCTTTTCGATTTGCTGCAGCCTATAAACGGAGTTTTGTGCATACAAATGGAAAAAAAATATAGTTATTAGTGTACTACGCAAAACTAGTATTACATATCTTAAATACACAAAATATGCATGTATCACGTTAATACATACGTGTATAGCCTATGGAACATGAATCCCTTTTCTACGCAAATCATGAAGCTGTAAAATAAAAATGCTTATTGATGTGTGTTGCTGAAGGAGAGGAGTTACTAAATGAGGAAATGTGCGCTAATCAAGGATCAGTAGCAACAACATTGTTCTATATTTCAAAGCTCCATTAAATATTTATACAGAGCGAGATACATTGCAAGTTTCAGAAAATGTTCCACCAAGTCCCTCAAAGATTAACCATAGTCCTTAACATTATCGAGAAAGCACACTCATATGCAAAGTTGCCACAGGTTGTATTTTGTACAATTAAATCATGTTCAGTTTTAAGAATCTTAGGATCATGTACTTATTTTCTGAATGCAGTTTAACAACTACACGTCTGACTTTTTTCCAAAGCTGTGTAACTTATCAACCCTACATGGCTTCTGATATGGACCCGACAAGGTTCGCTTGGTTACTCGAAGCCTGCCGATGGACAACATGTTGTTTGGAGACATACCAAGAACTTTAGAAGCTCGTTTCAAGTATTTGTTAATGGCATGAATTAGTTTTCTCTTTCTTCGTCACACTGAAAGAAATCTTAAACCGATTGTTTCATATCTGCTGAGTAGCGCATCTTGTCTGTCAACAACGACGTATGGTGTCCTCCCAGTAGTCATACGGCGCATTAGTCATACGTGTTAAAACAACATATGGTATGGTTAGCTGCACCAACAACTACCTTTGTATTACAATTAAAGTGGAATGATCCAAGAAGCACAAAATTACAACTTTTAATACTTTAAATAATCTTTTAATACTCCTCAGCATAGCATATATATTCATCATAGCACATATCATCATCAATGACCTATAATTTGCAGTTTCACATTTAGTGGTCAGTTGGATACAGATAACCAGCAGCATCCAGAAACTGATCACAGTTTTTCTGACCTACTTGGAGTTGGTCCAACAATTTGATGTGTCGGTTTTCCTTTTCGCGATACACTCACTTTCTGCCTTGGGGAGCAGCACCAAAGTCAATTTGACGCATCTTGGCAGATTCAGACTTCTCAATCTGATTGATCAGTTGAACAAAACGATAAATGTTTGGATGATGATGTGGCAGAGACTTGTTCGGTCGGTAGTGGAAGCCTTCCAGATTATTGTTCATGCGAGATTCAATGTTTCGGTGGTGATTCCATAGAGGGATGGGGAATCTAGCATCATCATCAATCCAACTTGTTACAATATAATCATTAAATCTCTCAGCGTTGTCTAGTCCTGGCGTATCGTCCATGGCGTCGACCCAGGCATCTTGGACGTCAGCTTCCGGTAACAGAGCCAGGGATAATGCTCTTCTGACCCAGCATCTTCTTGGTATGGGACAGCTAACCCGAAGTCTTGTACCTTCTTCCAGATGGATTGGGTGAAGTGAAAGTAACATCCACTCACTCTGGCTGCAGGAAACTCAGTCTCGATAGCTCGGATGGCGGCTTGCTCAAAGTCGGTCTGAACGGTGACAGGAGCGAGGATTCTGTTGAGTTTCTGCTGTACTTCTGCCTTCAGTCGGTGGAAAAGCCGGCAGAAGGTTGTTGTCTGGCGATCGGGAAGAAGAGCAAACACCAAGGGGTAGGTCTTCGAACCTCTTCTGGCATGGATAATGTAGAGTTGGTTCCACAGGGCTGGGCAGGATGAAAATGTACCATCCATGTAGAAGTAATCTGCTGACTGCAAAACAGTCAGCTGATCCTAAGAGGAAAAGACTAACATATTTTCTTCGCAATCACCGTCAGCAAACAACAGGTATGGTTGGCCGTCACCTGTCTCAGTCCACTTTCCCTCAAGTTCCACATCACGTATTGCCAGTAGGAGCGCTGGTATGGTGTGTCGTCTATGCCGGTAAAGGGCACTGCTGAGATTTGCGTAGGATGGTAGATGAGGTACTATTTCAGGATCTTGTTGGGCAACTGCTTCCTGGTACAGGGTTGGCATCGGGGTTATCTCTTCTCTGGCCCTCGTGTTACTGACAAATCTAACTGTCAGGTTCTTGTGGGCCGTGGTTATGAGGAGTGGTGTTCCTGACATAGTTTCCAACTGTTGTAACTCTACCAAGGCAAGTTTTCACGACACACTTCCAGTGGATAGTGTTCCTTTGTAGAGTTCTTGTTGTGAAGGTGACCTTGAAACAGTACCTGCTGTGTATCTCGCCTAGAAGTAACATATTCCACTTCAATCAATCCTGCCATAACAAGAGTGATATGCTAGAGTCTAAAACATAGACACTTTTATGTACTAGTTTGTGTTTTTTCACTAAATTGAGTAAACTCAGTTTAACTCAGTAAAGAACAGTAAATAGTTTGAGATGAATCCTTTACTTGTCCCTAAAACATTAATTTATTTAAATAACATTAACTTGAATGTTTTGATTATGAAAGACTGTCATGTATCATGTTCAAATAACTTCAATGTACATTACTTTAATAACATTCGTTTATGTTTTCATTAGAGAATATAATAACTGTGGTGACAGCTGTATGTTCCTGTACCATTCCTGTCCCTTTTGACCAAAGGGTATATGCCTATTGTTCGATTTAACTAATCCCTCATTTGCTGTATAACTATTGAGAGTATGACTAATGGGCGTATGACTAATGGGACATTACCCGACGTATAATATGTAGAACATACACTACATGTTTCGCTGTTCCCCCAACCGGTGTGCCCCTTCCCCCCTCTCCGTTCAAGATGTCAACTTGTACAGATAACATCCTGATAGTTTCTGAAACAACTTTTTCAAGCAATGGGAAAGAGCTGATATGGTTGGGGACGGGATATTGATTGCCGTGTACAGTTTTTACATTTAATAGACTATTCCCGAGTTTGCAATTTATGGTTCTCATTTAGCGCCAAACGGAATGTTACTAACAAGGCAGTATTTTGATTAAGATACCGGACCTTCGTACCATGTGTAATTACGCGTTCCAAGAGAGCTCTTGTCGTCATGGAAGAATGAAGATAATGAATAAATGTCTTCACATTCACCATGCACAAGCAGTGATTACTTTATACACGGGCAACAATGTCAGTGAGCGAAGTACAAACAAATCTTGGTTGTATGCAGCGGAAATGTAATCACTCAAATGATATAAGCTAAATCTGCGAAAAAGAACAATTTATCCAAGATACCATCACCCCCTTTCCATGAAAACCTATAACATCTGTGTACTGCTGTTTGACGATGTAAAATGAATATAAAATGACTTATTGAGGGGCAAAATAAAGCATATCGAGTTTGTGTTCTTTGTAATTGGAATTCGAAAGGACTGTTGCTAAATTTGATTATGTCCATCGCTCATTCATTAAAAGAGACATATATACATCATTCTACATGTATTTTATATTGTAACTTCAGAGCCATGCATGATACGTAAAAGAAATAGACATTGTTTTTAAAATTACCAACATAAGCATCTATTAGTTCAGACATACTTCGTTCCCGCATTAAGTGATCATCGGGTCAGCAGTGAAGGAACTTTTATCCAAGATACCATCACCTCCTTTCCATGAAAACCTATAACATCTGTGTACTGGTAGGTGTCCAGGTAGGTGTGTTGTGTTTCGTTTCTCACTTTGTCCCCCTACACAAAGATAAATGTTCGATAGTCAAGGTCACAACTTCCATGAATATGTCAAGACACTATCAGGCTGCCGAAGGCCGACCGACTGCCACACACTCCTACTTTCGGATTACGAATCCACGTTTTATTCATACAAGTCATGGCCCACTTTAACTATTCTTATATTAACTAGTTCAATTTTTCCTGAGTGCATGTAGTGTGTATAGTGTATGCATTATGTCCATTATCCCAGTCAGCGACCCTGGCCACCCGATCCCGTTAGCCACCTCTTACGACAAGCACAGTCGCCTTTTACGGCAAGCATGGGCTGCTTCAGACCTATTTAGGGGTCCTGGTATATCAAATGTTACAAATGTTTAAATTTCATTCATGTTGAACAATCAGGGATAGATTTGTAGTATTTTTTTTAGTGTACACTTCATCTTTTTACGGGGGGCACGGTGGCCCCGTCGTCTAAGGCGCCGCGATTCGCGTCTCATGGTCGCGCCAGAAACCTATGATTGTGGGTTCGAATCCCGGTTCGCCTTGATTATGTTTCTAGGTTCGTCAGCACCATACCCGTGCTCGTGGGTTTCACCGAAGTGGTAAACGTCTGAGACCTGCATCACTTCGGGCTTTCCTCCCACGTTAAGCTGACACGCCGTGATATAACTGGAATAATGTTAAAAGCAGCGTTAAACCCAACTCCCTCACTCACTCGCTCTTTTTACGTACGTCTATGAAACTCGTGCCTGTTTTGTGCCGTAAATGGAACAGGCTGTGTTAGGATGGCATGGTGCCAAATATGATACAGGCTGACAATGAGTATGTGTGTGCATGTTTTATATCAATCTGAGATACCCATAGATAAGATTGTTTCTTTGTTGTTTTACGCCACACTCAGCAATATTCCAGCTATATGACGGCAGTCTGTAAATAATCGAGTCTGGACCAGACAAGTGATTAATATCATGAGCATTGATCCACGCAATTGGGATCGATCACATGCATCAACCAAGTCAGCTAGCCTGACCACCCGATCCCGTTAGTCGACTCCTACGACAAGCATAGTCGCCTTTAACGGAATGGACCTTGCTTGACACATGTCTCTACGTTGATTGGTAACAGCTCTTAGTCTCTCAATTATCTTTAAGTTTTGTGTCTTCCAGAATGGACGCCTTCCCGAAGTGTTCTATCTGTCAGCAGCAGTTTACCCTGAAAAGTCCAGTCCCCTACTTACTGCCCTGTCTACACGCTGTGTGTGAGACGTGTGTGACATCTGCAGCTGGTGGAGTGATATCATGCTTTACATGTCAGAGGGAGGTCAACCTCACAGACACAAGTCTCCAGAAGGATGCAGTCAGACAGAAGGAGATATTCCACCTGACAGTCAAACATCGCCCCACAGAGCTTCTCTGTACAAATGAAGATGACGGGAACCAGGCTGTGTGTTGGTGTCAGGATTGTGAAGAGTTCCTCTGTGAATACTGCCAGAACATGCACAGCAGCGTCAAACTTACCAAGAACCATGTACTTCAAAACTTTGGTGACATGGGACCGACTGTCTCGAATATTCCATCATATTGCAGTATCCATAAACACCACCCCCTTTATCTGTTTGATAAAAGCTGCAAGAAGTTAATCTGTGCGAGATGTAGGATTGAAGACCACGCAGACCATGAAGTTGTGGAGCTGGATGTGGTTGCTGATACTGTAACAAAACAGCTGGACCATCATAAGAATGAGCTCTCAAAGTTACAGGCTCGCCAGCAATCACATATGCAGAGCCTTAGGCAAGGAAGCGAATTCACAGACAAAACACACAACACTTTGAAAGAAAGTATTGGCCACACATTTCAATCTCTGAGATCACAACTTGACCAAAGAGAGAAGGAACTTCTGATCGATCTTGAAAGTCAGACGAAGGAGACCAAGTCAACTCTATATGCTCGTCTAAACACCTGTGAAGAAGAATGGAAGACATGCACTGGGGCTTTAGACTACATCGCCAAAGTCTTCCTCTATGCCTCGAAGTCAGACCTCGTGGAGAGTTATGTAGGGGACATAACTCGGAACTATCTAGAAACTGCTGCGCCTCAAACACATGTCGTACCTTCAGCTGTCTTCAACACCAACAGCTTGTCAACACTGAAATCAACCATATCAGTGTTTGGTGCCATTTTGCCAAGGGAAGTGGATGAGGAATCTGTAAAAGGTATTCACATCGAACATCATTGTAGTTTTATTCATTCTTTGTATGCGTACAGTTTTTTGCAAGTTCTTGTGACGATCTATTTCGTTTGCAGCCCCTCTGTTTTCTTCATGTGTTTCTCTATCTAAGATTCATGCTTTGTTTCTGAAGATTTAATGTTCGTAGACTGCACATAACATGTTCCCGGTGTTAATCGTCAGGAGTTATCCATCTGTTGTTTCAGACAAGGATACTCAAACTGACGATGACTTTATGGCAGACTTGGAAAGGAAACACAAAATGGTGAGTACAATCAGAAAAATCATGAAATCTTGCATGCTCACTGACCAACAAACTGACCAACTACAGGTTGATCCAAAGCAAATTTGCCTCAATCGTCATAACTATGTTTTGTCATATTGAGAGAAAGTGCATCGGACCATTTAACGCTTGTATTTTCGCAGGACCTGACAGAGCTGAAGACGAAAATTGCTTCAGATGAGAAACATATTGAAAGCCTCAAAACACTTACAGACAAGCTCAATGTCGAAATCAGAAGCTTGAAATCGGTTTGTTTTTATTACCTAACATGTACACACCTTTAGACGTGTCAGCGTCTATCATTTAATTCAAATATGTTGTGTGAGAGTGTCTTGAATTTTTGATATTGATTGCAACCGTTAATGATTGCATGTCTTGGAAATCCTTGACCCATGAGATCCCATGACAGACACATGCTTTGTTATATAATACATATGCTATATTTTCAGCGCATTGAGGAGAAGGAAACCACAGAGAAGACCGCCTCAAACACCAGGGATGTCTTACTTGGTAAATTTGTATCAAACTTCTTCTTTAAACCTCCCTTAATCACATTATCTCAGATACGTTTGACAACTAAACATGCATCTCTATGTCCGTGAGTGGTAAACAGAGTAAAACCCACACACGAAGTCCCCCTGTCTCATCACACATATATATGGTGATGTATATATTGATGTTACAGGTGTGGCCAGAGAATGCGGTGTTCATCTGCTGAAGTCAGAAGTTGTAGACAGATCAATGGTGCTGAAGTGTGAGTACATTTATCATGTATCTCCTTTGATATAAGTTTTGATGTCCATCGTGTTCAAGTATTATAAAACGTCAACACGTATGGAACATTTAGTCACCAACTACGATTGAGGGGCATAGAGTAATAAACTGGCTCATGCTTGGGCTAATGAAGGTCAGGCGCTGGCAGTCTTCGTGTGTCATTGGCTTGTTTATCTGGCCCATTTTAATTACTTGCAGGACACGTTGGTAACTATGTACAACATCAGTCATTACAGCTTAATGTTGCTACATGATTAATTCACAACGCTTTGGTGTGACGTTCTTTCATTAATTATTATTTCTATACTCGTATATGCACGGGGTCGGTGTACGGTTCTCTGTAGGAAGTGACAACGTGGAGTCGAAGGCTTGCAGTATATACACACTGCTTTAGACAGGTAGATATATGTATATACAAGAAGCACTAGGTGCCAGGGCAGCACAATCTGTTGGTGCCACGGATCGCCTAACCTACCCCTAGCTAGGCTGGGGGTGCGGCTATATTTCTTTGTCACAAGTCCAAATATTTCATATCCATGGTCAACAGACACGGATTAAGTCAACAATATAAACAACAGTAAATAATGAGTGACAAAGTTGCACACCTCGTTCAGGATGGCTGACAGTCGACGTACAATACAATTGAGATTTGCATATTTGAAGTAATTGCAATTAAGATAATAGACATATATATTTTATGGCTACAGGGTAATTCGCCTTTGTTCATGCAGACAAAGGTCGCTTTAACAAATCTTACCAACCATATCATCGTCTTGGAAATGTTTACCTTAAAGTGAACCAATGACAGTTGCCATAAGTAGACATTCCCCCCGCCTATGGTATCACGAAAAATATTAGCCAGATGGGTGAGTGCGTGTATTGTGATTAACGCCACTTTAAAATTCAATTCTGTTATACGATTTGGTAGCAGTTTAACATAGGTGAAAACCCCGAAGTAATGCAGGTCTTAGACCTTCAACCTTCTGATGAAGAACCCATGAGCTGACAAATGATATTCTGGGCTAATTTTGAAATCAAACCAAAGATCACACAATTCTGCCACGCCTCGTTATAACGAATAAGTTAGAAGTAAAACAAACATAGTATATTCTAAAGTCCATTGCCTTGGTGACACAAAAGAGTGAATGCGCGAATTGGGTTGAACCCCTCTTTAAAAAGTATTTCCGTGATATACCGACATGTCAGCTTGTGTGAGAGGAACGGACAAAGTGATACAGGCATTAGGCAGTTGTCATGTATGAGGTGCTGACAAACATGATCAGGGAGAATCTTGGATTAGAATCCTCGAGCATAGGTTTCTGAAATTCGCCAGCAAATTGGGAAGCCAGAGGCGACTTGGCCACCAATGCCCCGACATGAAAGCCATTCGGTGGAATTAACTGCTTACAATTTACGAGATGCGGGGTGACAGTGGTTTTAGTGGTTTCCAACAGTGTTTCCTACTGCAGCTATAATTTATCGAGGAAATGAGCAGGAAAATACCGACTGAAATATTCCAGCAACATGACAGCGGTCTGTAAATATTCGAGATCAAGTCTGGATCAGACAATCCAGTTATTGATATTATGAGCATCGATCCACCACGCAATTGGGATACGATGACATGCATCAACTATGTCAGCGAGCCTGAGCACCCGCTGTGAAGAAATGAGTGAGGAAAGAAGTGAGGGGGGTGGGGGGGGGGGGGGATGGGTGGTGACAGTTGTTTCCAACAGTGTTTCTCACTGCAACTGTAACCTATCGAGGAAATGAGCAGGAAAAAAAAGACTGAAAGCATAATCACGAGCACGGACATTGGGGACACACAAACTGCGAGCACCCTGGCCACCCGACCGCCATCTCAGACGACGCAATGGGGACCTTGAAGGGAAGAAAGACGATGCAATCACTGCCAGGCAGACATTTTTACACGTTTGATGCACCCTTAGGATGTTCTGTATATCGTGCAATATCTGCGAAGTTCGGTCTACTTCTAAGATGTAATATCTGAAACATTTTAACATAAGCCTCACAATAATAAAAACCGAGCCAGTATGAAGTTGTCAGTGTTAATCGTGAGTATCATGTACAGGCAGGTACAGAGGACTGTTTAACCGCTAAATTGGTCATGTTGTTACCATTGACACTGTTGTGTATGGTGATGTGCGTGTGTGAATAATTTCAAGTACATCAATATTCTCGTGCCGATAAAGTCACCGTGTTACTGAGACGTGACAATATAGTCTCACAGACTTGGTTCTAAATAACCTGTGTGTCGCTCACGTGTGAATACAAATGTGTGTTGTGATGTATTAAGCAGATTATCGTTCCAGGGTAATGAAACTGCTATTGCAACACGTTGAACATTATTTATACACTGTTTGTGACCTTAGTCCCCAAATACGTGGATATCAAGATCAAGGTTCACACATTAAGATTTAAGACACTGGTACTTCTGCATGTATGTCTTGTCATTGTTCTTGCATACGCCTCCTAACCTGCCGACATCTCAACTCTTTTATTATTACTTCCTTCGTTTGAACATTATAGACGGCGACTTGCGAAACGGACAATTTACAGGAGCTAATTTATTTTAAAGGCGAAATAGAGTTTGAAATATTGCATATAGCATTACTACAAAACAATACCAAAAGTATCGAGTGATTTGAATGAATGGATGCGACATAGGAAGGACTAGGTGTAACATACTTATCAACAGAACATGTTGGCGGTGCATTGTAAGGGTACAAACAATCGAGGAAGGCGACATGCGTGTGTGGTAAAAACCATAAACGTTTGAGATGACTTGATCAATAATGAGTTGTTCCCAACAACTGGTCAAACTGTCGTTTATGCTCGACAAGGTCCGAATCAATCTCCCAATGACAATTTGCAGGATTCTTGTCAATTAATGTTGCAGCGGCTGGCCCAATTCGGCTAACGGCAGCCGTTGGCGTCGGCGTACACGTCCCCGGATTATGCGTTATAGGGGAGAGATCAGAACTCATGGCTGCTCATTGCAATCTTGTGATGTTTTGCTGTTGGAGGTAGTCATGAACGATACGTTTTCGTCTTGAAAGGCAAAACGTGGACTAGCATGCAGCGAAAACGGAACTACTATCGCCGCTAGCATGCTATCTCGGTAGTACTGTCCAGTGACCGTCTTACATGTATGGACAATATGCAGTGGCGTTCTGGCAGTCATAGTGATCCTGCCCCATATCAGTACAGAGCTCGCAGCGATTTTGACAAAATCAAGAATGACCCCCTAGCCAGTGCACGGAGGTGACCCACGTGAGATGTTTCGGGTGTGTTGGGGCGTTAGGTTTTGGTTCCAAAAACTGTTCCATCTCTGGCATCCATATTTCTGGCTTGTCCAATGGACGCAACTCTGCACAGCTAATCGCTGTTTTCTTCTGACGACCGATCGTAACATTTCTCATCATCATGTAGTTTTGGGAACATAGACCATGGCGATAGGTGTAGTTACAATCATAGAAAACTGAAGCAAATAACATTGAAATATCACACCATCAATGAGGCATTATTCAAAATACAAAATGCACTTAGTGCTGATGAGTAAAATATGACATAGGTCTTGGGTGAGGTGAGGTGAAATTGGGTTTAACGTCGCGTCCATGATTATTGCACTTGTGTGTGGCTGCTTGTAATAGTCCGGACTGATGCCGATTTATATGCTTGCTCACTGAGATACCATGTGGCAGTTTAACATGAATACCCCACTCAGACACAGTATACTGACTCCGAGCCGACCAGTCCTTGTTTTAGCCCCTTAATGTCCAGCCTCAGACAGGGTAACTACAAGTATCATCTTTTAACGTCTTTTGGTATGACGCGGCCGGGGATTAAACCCCGGACCTTAAGCTCGCGAAGCTCTAGTAAATAGCGTTATTGACTTGTATTTACAGGTTATATTTTGCTAATTGGGGTTTGCGTCCATTGACAAAAATTATTTAAAAACATTTCCCATTTCATAGTAATCAATAAAATTATCCCTACTTGTCACCGACCAGTTATCGCCATTTTTCATGTTATTTCTGAAATATCCCACGTTCAAAGTTAACTGTGCAATAAACTTTGAAAATGGGCAAATGTGCGTATTTCTGTCAGTGGAAAAATCCAATTCTGCTAACGTAGACGGTAGCCGTTGACGTCGGCGTACACGTCCCTGCATTATGCGTTATAGGGGAGAGATCAGAACTCACGGCTGCAAGCTCCTCGCAGCGATAGCCCGTTCGCGGAACTCTCTATACCATCGCTGCCACCAGTCAATTATTTGAGGGACATACATCTGATGATTTTCTAATCCTGACAGTCATTTAGTTTCAACATTGCGTACAATCATACAAATGTTATTTGTTATGTCATGGAAAGAGTTTAGTCGCTTTTATTTAAATCTTTCTGTCATTTCTCACTGAAAATACTATCTCACTGCTTTAAATATCACTTTTTCATTTTTCATAACCTGCATCGTGAAACTCTAGTGAACAGCGTTATTGATTTGTATTTACAGGTTATATTTTGCTAATTGGGGTTTGCGTCCATTGACACATTTTTTTGAAAACATTAACTATTTAATAATAATAAACTTATCCCTACTTGTTAACGACCAGGTATCGCCATTTTTCATATTATTTCTGAAATATCCCACGTTAAAAGTTTACTGTGCAATAAACTTTGCAAATGGACAAATGCGCGTGTTTCTGTGCGTAGAAAAAAATCATTAGCTTCCTGTTATAACGCGACAACAGGGAATCAAATCAGTGGAAAAAGAAACTTTCCGTCGACAAACTGTACCAGTTATCGCCATCATCTAAACAGCACGTGCCACGTGATCAAGCACACCACTTCACTTTTACAAATTACATTTTTTATTTTCTCTGTTATCGCAAGCTGTTTTTATATTTGTTACAATTAATTAGAAATGCTTTTATCAATTTGTCGTCTGCAAACTGACGTAGACCAATGTGATCTACACGCTATGTACTATGGATTTCGCGATATATACAGGGTTATTCACATTTGGAAAATAGCTCAAATAGGTTTTGGAATTGTTTTTGGGGGAAGAAATGACAGACAGAAAGTAAGCTATGACAGAACTGAAAGTGCATCATCGTGTTGTTGGATTTTTGTTTCCGCGTCAGTTAGTCACGTGACACAGCCCGCGTGTCTCTTCTAAAGTTGTATTTGAGCAAGGTGATTATATGGTATGTATTTTAATATTTATTCACAGGAGTAATTTTTGTTTATCATTTGTAGATAAATATTTCTCTCTTCTAATGAAACCGAGCAAAGGTAAAACGAGATGCGATCACGTGCGCGCTGTAGCGGGGACTAAGCTATAATTGGTCTTCGTCGACAGCTAGTCACTGGTCAATTTTCAGGGTAACATGCGTGTTCACAGTTAGTTAACGGGAAAGTTCTCTTTCCACTCGTAATTCCTTCTCTGTGGTACAATAGAAATCAACCTATATATAGTCCACGCAATGACATGAGCGCATTTGGTCTTAATTTCACAAAACCAAATGTTTGTCGTGATGTTTTCGATACCAATTTTCAGAAATGCCAAGAATGAAATTGACAACAATTGTTCATCTGCTAGCATCTGCTTTTGAAACTGAGAGCAATCAAATAGCACGCGCCTCGCCTGGAGCGGTGTCGACGTGATTTGCACGTTCTGGGCGGGCGGCTGGTCTATTTCGCACGTGCCTCACGACGTTTATTCTGACAGCAAAGCGCGAGGACATTTCAAAATATATTTGTATATTGACAATTAATTTAATTGCTGTTTGGTCTCAACATTTTTTCGTTTACAGAAGAACACTAAAACATACTCCAAATAATATAATAGCAGAAAGTTCCAGAAATATTTCAAACATGACTTGTTCACTACATTTAATGTTGCTTATTGTTTATTGTGTTATTGACTGTTTGTGTCCTGTTCTGATAATGCTGCCAATCTCCTGTCTCCCATCGCCAAGCCCCCCAGCCCCCAGTGCGTCCTCCAACGTGCTACACCAAACTCCCCCAACTACCGGATGACGTCACCAGGTCACGTGACACTGTGATCTCAACATCCTCATTTTAAGCTTCTTCCTCATTATACCGCGTTTACTCGTGTTTCTGTTAAGCGATGGTGAACAACTGTGATCGAGAGTATTCGCGCTCTGCGTGATTATTGCGCGATGTGTATCCTTTTGTTTTAGTAATTCAGAATCTCCACTGCAAATATTTCAGTGACGAACCTCTTACACCAGACCTGTTACTAACTTATTTTACATTCGCGTTAAAATATTACAGTATACATACACCAAAACGCAATACACAGTAGATTTTATGTTCATCCTACTGCACTGTGATTATATTACACTATTTGTATGTCAGTACATTGTACTTAGCTGTGCATTCCTTGCAATTGGATATTTTTGTACAACTTTAATATCCCAATTTGTCTCATGTGTTATTCACTTGTAAACTACATTCATATGTTGTAGGTATACATCTGAAGTATGACAAAGACATAGTCAATCTCGACTACGTCCACATCAACACAGAAGGAGACCTGGTCAACAGGAAGTCGGACACCAGACCTGCAGGGGAGTGGAGACTGAAGAAATACTGGGGCACATGTAGCACTGCCCCCCTCCCCCGGGCTGGCTGTCCCCAGTACTGGGAGATGGTGAACAGGGTCAGTCTGGAGGAACCACTCACAGGGAACAACCTCATCCTGGAGGTGGGTGCATGCAGGGAGGAGCAGAGGGACGTGTCTCATTGTATCAATCCACGATCCAGCTCCTGCTGCATGCAGGTCGCCCACTGTCCTACACACGGCGGGATATGCAGGCGGACATGGAAGGAGGGGAAGCATGTGCTGTGTCTGCCTGACACTCTCCCCAACACAGCAGGGGTATCACACACACTACATTACGGTGTTGTCTATGATGACACCAGGAAGAAGATTGTCTTCATTGATGTGAAGGAGAACAAAGTGATGTCGGCGTTAGACAATGTAGACTCCAGTCAGCCACTGTGGCCGATGTTCGGGGTGTATAACCCACATCTCCTCACTGTCAGCATGACACTTGTAGTGGGCAGCGGCATCAACATGACAGAGGAGAAGAAAGCAATGATTGTCAATGCGCTGTCGTGATGGTGACAGTGATTGTCAAGGCGCTGTCGTGATGGTGACAATGGTTGTCAAGTGCTGTCGTGATAGTGACAATGATTGTCAAGGCGTAGTCGTGATGGGGACAATGATTGTTACGGCGTTGTCGTGATGGTGACAATGGTTGTCAGGGCGTTGTCGTGATGGTGACAATGATTGTTCAGGGGCTGTCGTGATGGTGACAGTGATTGTCAAGGGCTGTCGTGAAGGTGACAATGATTGTCAAGGGCTGTTGTGATGGTGACAATGATTGTTAAGGCGCTGTCGTGATGGGGACAATGATTTTCAAGGCGTTGTCGTGATGGTGACAATGATTGTCAAGACGTTTTCGTGATAGTGACAATGGTTGTCAATGCGTTGTCGTTATGGTGACAATGATTGTCAAGGCGTTGTCATGATGGTGACAATGATTGTCAAGGGCTGTCGTGATGGTGACAATGACTGTCAAGGCGTTGTCGTGATGGTGACAATGATTGTCAAGGCGTTGTCATGATGGTGACAATGATTGTCAACGGCTGTCGTGATAGTGACAATGATTGTCAATACGCTGTCGTGATGGTGACAGTGATTGTCAAGGCGCTGTCGTGATGGTGACAATGATTGTCAAGGCACTGTCGTGATGGTGAGAATGGTTGTCAAGGGCTGTTGTAATGGTGACAATGATTGTCAATACGCCGTTGTGATGGTGACAATGTTTGTCAAGGGCTGTCGTGATAGTAACAATGATTTTCAAGGCGTTGTCGTGGAGGAAACAATGATTGTCAGGGCGTTGTCGTGATGGTGACAATGATTTCAAGGCGTTGTCGTGAAGGAAACAATGATTGTCAAGGCGTTGTCATGACGGTGACAATAATTGTAAAGGCGCTGTCGTGATGGTGACATTGATTGTCAAGGCGTTGTCGTGATGGTGACAATGATTGTCAAGGCGTTGTCGTGATGGTGACAATGATTCTCAAGGCGTTGTCGTGACGGTGACAATGATTGTGAAGGGCTCTCGTGATAGTAACAATGATTGTCAAGGGCTGTCGTGATGGTGACAATGATTGTCAAGGCGGTGTCTTGATGGTGACAATGATTGTCAAGGGCTGTGGTGATGGTGACAATGATTGTCAATACGCTGTCGTGATGGTACAATGATTGTCAAGGCGCTGTCGTGATAGTGACAATGATTTCAAGGCACTGTCGGGATGGTGACAATGATTGTCAAGGGCTGTCGTAATGGTGACAATGATTGTCAAGGCTCTGTCGTGACGGTGACAATGATTGTCAAGACGCTGTCGTGATGGTGACAATGATTGTTAAGGCTCTGTCGTGATGGTGACAATGATTGTCAAGGCACTGTCGGGATGGTGACAATGATTGTCAAGGCACTGTTGGGATTGTGACAATGATCGTGATAAGAACACACAGATTTGTTGCAGATCCTTACTGATCAGGAACAACTACATGACTCGAACATGTCTTCTCTGTGAAGAAGGCATTCATCTTCGTATGTACAAATATCACAAGTAAACAGTGTAGTGTGTACACAACACAAAACCAGAAGTTTAACTTATGATCTCCTACACCTTTCAACTATAACCCCCTGAACCTGTAATCTTGATGTGATATGTGTAAATGTATATAACATTTAGATAAAAGGTAAAACGTTTGTTGTTGTTTGTGTTTATTTTTTTGTTCGTTTTTTAACGCCGTACTCAACAATATTCCAGCTATATGATGGTGATCGTTAACTAATCGAGCCTGGACCAGACAATTCAGTGATTGGCGTCAAGAGCATCCATCTTCGTAATTGGGATACGATGGCATGCAACAACCAAGTCAGCGAGCCTCACCGTCCAATCCTATTTGTCCCCTCTTACAAGCATAGTCGCCTCTCACAACTTGCATGTGTTGCTTAAGACCTATTCTGACTTTGATCTTCATGGGTGACGTAAATCTATCATGGTACATGGTACGACACACAATCAGGCAAGTCGCCGAACCTGACCAATCGATGGATGCTGTCGCCTCGTTTTGCATGCTGACAGGGGATATCAGTGGGATTTCTTTAGATGTTTATCAAACAAAATAAAGTAAGTGACATTGCAATAAGCTATTGTTTTGATAATAATAACTTAAAATTTGCTGTATTTGCCGGACGAAGGAGGGCAGTTTAAAAGATTGAGGGCTTATGCGAATGATTATTACCAGCAAAAATAGCGTTACCGTTATTATAGCTAAAATAGATAGAATTTGTTTTCAGATGAATATAAACACAATATCGGTTTTGAAATATTTACTGCAATCAACAAACAACGAATGCCACTGAAGAACAAATCAGATGAAGTCAAAGCTGACTCCCTAACAACGGGAGTCAAGCAATATGAGGGCATTATCAAGTTACAATGGTCCGCTAATTCTGATAACATGCGGGTAATTTAAAGATAATTCTCCCCATTTTAGCTATAAATTGCGTGGATCGATGCTCATGATGGCAATTACTGAACTGTTTGGTCCAGACTTGATTATTTATAGACCGCTGTCATATATCTCAACAATTGCTGAATGTGGCGTTAAACAGCAAACACACAAAAACCCATGGAGGTATGATTACATAGTTTGTAGCAATATACCGGGAAACAACAGAAATGCCTTCAGCATTGGGACACTTTAACCACTATAATATGATTTTGTTATATTATTCCATAATGTTCCTCGGTAACATTTGTCTTGAAAACCTGTACAGTTTCCGAATACGATTTCAAGGCAACAAGCTGGTAGGGAGATGGAGGTATAGGTTCTATAAACCTTATGCATGTGCCGCCACTAACACCATCACCATCAACATGACCACCAACACGACCACCAACACGACCACCAACAACACGCACGATCACTAACACCATAACAACACCAATACCAACAATAGCAAGATCAACCCAAACAACACAAACAACAACAACATCAACAACAACATCAACAACACAACCAACCCCAGCAAGAACACCACCGACACGGCCACCAACAACACGCACGATCTTTTACACCACCAACTACACCAATACCAACAACAGCAAGATCAACACCAACACCACAAACAACAACAACACCAATACCAACAACAGCAAGATCAACACCAATACCACAAACAACAAGATCAACAACAACACCAACAACATCGATAACACCACCAACACCAACAACGACACACACCACCTTGGGTCTAGCTGAAGTGGTAAACGTCTGAGACCTATATCACTCCGGGCTTTCCTTGAACATTAAGCTGACACGCCATGATATAATTGGAATGATGTTAAAAGCAGCGCTAAACCCAACTCACTCACTCATCTTTGGAGACTAAGCTTTGATGTTCTTTAATTCGGGATTTGAGGGGCCTAGATGTTTCTCCAATGAAAGCTTGCCTACAACTGCACGGAATGTGGTACACTGCTCTTGATGGTTCTAGCTTGTGGCTGGATGGTTCAACTCCACCTCACCTCGTGCTCCGAACTAGACGTACATGTAGTTGCATCGTTATCGCAGTCTGATGTAACGTCGTCGGATTCCCCTTCCAATCTAGACGTACATGTAGTTGCATCGTTATCGCAGTCTGATGTAACGTCGTCGGATTCCCCTTCCAATCTAGATGTACATGTAATAGCGTCGTTATCGCTGTCTGATGTAACGTCGTCGGATTCCCCTTTCGAACTAGACGCACATGTAGTTGCATCGTTATCGCTGTCTAACGTAACGTCGTCGGATTCCCCTTTCGAACTAGACGAACATGTAGTTGCATCGTTATCGCTGTCTGACGTAACGTCGTCGGATTCCCCTTTCGAACTAGACGCACATGTAGTTGCATCGTTATCGCTGTCTGACGTAACGTCGTCGGATTCCCCTTCCGAACTAGACGCACATGTAATAGCGTCGTTATCGCTGTCTGACGTAACGTCGTCGCATTCCCCTTCCGAACTAGACGTACATGTAGATGCGTCCCTGACTCCGTCTGACGTGTCAGCTTCGCTACCCCCTTCTTCCGAAATTCATTTTTTTAAAGAGAGAGGCAAACATTTCTATCATCATATTATACTGAATAGCCAAATATTATAAAATTTGTAAAACTCTTAGGATCTAAAGAATGTATAGAGATTTATTGTAAAACTATCCATTAGTACTAAAAATACTAGGTAATCACATGATGTTATTAACTGTATATCAACATATATATAATTATTAATATTTATGTGGTCTTGTACCACCTTTTTGTGATTTGTTTGAATAAACAGATTCTGATTCTGAACATACTACATTTGGGGAGAGATCTCTTATGAAATGTTTTTTTTTTTCATTTTTAGTTAAATGCAATCTGCAAAATAAAATTATGTTACTGATTATACTGTTATTTGCTTACAAATTTGTACGTAAATTAAATATTTTCCTTTTTGTAGTCGCACTGTGGATGAAATACTTAGGTTTCCGAGAGGTGGTGAGGTGAAATGGGGTTTAAGATTATTACACTTATATAGCAACGTGCATGTGTGTGTGTGCGTGCGTGCGTGCGTGCGTGCGTGCGTGCGTGCGTGCGTGTGCTTGTACTAGTCCGGACTAATCCCGATGTTATAGTGTTGGCCGACAGATGCCATGCCTCAGTTTAACATGAATACCCAGCTAAGACACAGTATACTGACTCTAAGCCGACCAAGCCTTGTTGCCGAGCGCCAGACAGGGTAATAACAAGTACCATCTCTTATCAAAGACGCCGAATGTGCTATAACCTCTTATGTAACACATCGTTGTAAATTAATGGTCCCGATGCAATCTCACGCAATAAGACCTCAGCAATGCATGGTGGGTAACGTTGATAACGTTGCCAGTTATGGCGGCAGGTTATATCGAGGCTCGGCGGTAGACAACTATGTGGAACTACAAGCTACGTCCATCTTATTTCTTATAAAGCACATTGGATTCCAATCTCGGGTTATCACAGAATGTTATGGAGTTGACAGAACCTCGACATCGGAGAGAAGCGTTCGTAAAATAGCACGACTACAATTTAACCGAGAATGCTGTGTTGATATGGGATCTTGGATTGCTTGAAATTATCGAAAAAATCAGATCAGGCGCTAAAACAACCGTATGACGCGGAACCTCGTTTTCAATCGGTTATCGGCTGAACACGTGGTTTTCGGACATTGGTCGAAGCGTGTCATCTCGGTATTGGCGCCTCT